TAGAACAAAAGAAGCAACAAAACAAAACAATCTGTGTAATCAATAAAAGCTTAATTTAGCTGCTGTTAGTTCTTATGATAAGGACAGATAAAAACAATCATTTTTTTACCTAGAGAAATATTAGCAATGGAAGATAAAACGATGGTAACGATAGCGGAAATCCTGATGATTGTGGTGGTGATGATATTGATTGTAGCCTTTGCTATTGCTGTTATGAATTTGTTATTTTTATAATTGTTACTTTTACTACCATTGCTATCATCATCATTCTTGTTATCGTTAAGGTGAATAATGTTAGTTTTATTGTCATTGTTATTTTCATTATCATCATGATTACTGATTTTATTGATATTGTTATTATTATCACTATTGATGGAATAGCAGCAGCAGCGGCAGTTGTTGTAGTAGTAGACCATTATCATAATCATTATTTCAATTATTATCATTATCACTTCTTATGATAGCACATCAGTAATATGAATGACAATGCTAAAATTAATAATGAAAAGGACAATGATAATTTTACGAACATTACCATCACTGATGAAAAATGCAAGTAATGACAATAACACTGAACATTAGTAATCCTATTATTGATAATGCATTTGGCTGATACTGTGTCTTGGGAAATATTCACGGACAAGGACAATCTTATCAACAGTGAAAACAATTCGGGAAAGTTGACATTCATAATCTTCTCGAAAGTTACATACCATTATATCATTTGCATATCATTACTGCATATTCCCCTTCATAGTTCATTAATGCTCAGTTCTTTTCTAAAGTCTTTCTTTTTTTCTTCTTCCATTCCCTTTTGTAGGAGATAATACAGAAAGAATAGTTATTTTGGACCATTAATAACATGCAAGGAGTTCTGGGAATAGAATAATATGCATAATTTTCTAAATAATCATTCGCTTCTGATGAAATATGTACCGTTCCACAATCAGATAATAACAACGAATTAATTTTATTCCCGTCGCTCTTTCTTCCCTCTGCATTAATATAATTCCAAATTTAAAAGCAACAACGCAGACTTTGGTGACTGCCGACGTTCCTCGGGTAAAATAAAGGAGAACGTGACATTGCAGCTGCAACGATTAAGCCCAAAAAAATGAAAAAAGGGTCAAGGCTTTTACTGCCCTTGCAATGGACGAAGAGGAAAATATGTGGGGAGTGTTGGAAGGCGGGAGAAGATATTGCAAGAGGGGGGGGAGGAAGTGGAGGGGGGGAGGAGAAGGAAGAGGAAGAGTAGGGGAGGAGGAGAAGGAGGGGGGGGGAGGAGAAGGAAGGGGCGAGGAGGAGGAGGAGAAGGAAGGAGGAAGAGTAGGGGAGGAGGAGAAGGAGGGGGGGGGAGGAGGAGGAGGAAGAGGAGGAGGAGGGAGGAGGAGAGGGGGCAGAAGGAGGAGGATGGGGGGGAAGAGAAGGAGCAGTCGAGGAGGAGAAGGAGGAGGAAGGGGGGGGGGGATGAGAAGGAAAAGGAGGGAGCGAGAAGGAGAAGGAGGGGCGAGGAGGAGGAGGAGGAAGAAGAAGAGGCATATGAGTGTGGTTGCACTACACACACATACACAAACACGTACACTCACACACACACACAGACACACACACACACACACACACACACACACATATATACACACACACACACGTACACATATACACAGACCATGCGATGTTGTACATACATTTATACATTGTCTAAAGCCAGGTATCTTGTAATTACAAATAAAGAATCTCATATACGAAGTTGGGACAAAGTTTGTTCAGAATAACAAGAACGGTTAATCTGGCCAGAGACAAGATATACAGAAAATAAAAGAAAAAAGAAATGAACACTGGAAGGAATGGAGAGAAAGGAAAGAAAAGAAATAGAAAGAAACCTTATTGACAGACGGACAGACAGAGGGAAGGAGGGCTTGGCCTAGAGAAAGAGAGATAGGGAGGGGGGGAGGGAGGGAAGGAGGGAGAGAGAAAGAGAGAGGGAGAGAGAGAGAGAGAGAGAGAGAGAGAGAGAGAGAGAGAGAGAGAGAGAGAGAGAGAGAGAGAGAGAGAGAGAGAGAGAGAGAGAGACAGGCAGACAGACAGACAGGCAGAGAGAGGAGGGGAGGGATTAAAGAAAGAAAGAGAGTGAAAAGGAGAGAGAGAAAATAAGAAACAACTACATACTCCAAAAAACAACTAAACATATTGACACACATTTGTTTGGTTAATCAGCCAGGCATTCCAACCAACAATTGCAACCAGCCACCCAACCTCCATTGATTTACTAACCACCGAGGAACCAACTGCCCAAGCATGCCAACCACCCACCCTAGCTATCAACCACCTAGGCATACCAGGCACTCAGGTATGCCAACCATCCAGACATACCACCCGCTTTGGCATACCAACCATCCACACATACCACCCACCTGGCATATCACCCACCCAGGCATACTACCCACCCAGATATATCGACCACCTAGACATATCACTCATACAGGCATACCAACCAACCACC